AGCGCCGGAGAGCACCGGGATTCCGTTCGGCAACAACAATGGAAGTGGAGAGATTCCTTTAGGCGATTTGACGTGCTATAGGTGTAGGCAGAAAGGGCACATCGCCAGAAATTGTAGGCAGTCGACCGGGCAGAAGAGGCAGAACACGGGAAACGAAGTACAGCTGCCCCAGGGGCCCGTGGTGCGGCTGGAGGAAAAGCAGGGCCAGTAGGTGACAGCATCTCTTCACAAGAAACTCGTAGCAATTCGGAGCCGAGACACCTTCCCGTACCTTCCAAGTCGACTGTTGCACAAAGTGGATTATTTGTTCCGGCAGAAGTTAGGGGAAGAGGTGTACAACTACTGGTTGATACAGGTGCGACCGATACGGTGCTTAATTCGGGATTATTCTTCGAAATTCCGGCCAGTAAAAGACCTAGGCTCGAGAGCAATGAGACACGTGTGAAAACAGCGAGCGGTGGGCTGCTGAGAACTATCGGCAGCGCCTACGTAGACATCCGGGTGGGAAAGATCACCTACCATGTTAATGCGGTATTTGGGGACATTGGACCACTAGAGGGAATCCTTGGGATGGATTTCTTACTGCGGACGCAGGGGAGCTTAGATTTTCACACCCTGGAACTGAAAATTGGAGACGAAAAAATAAAGTGCACCGACACCAAGGGAGGGCGATTTTGTGCCAGGATAATTGTCGCAAAAACAGCCGAAATACCGCCGGGCCATGAGGCGATTGTGCAAGGGTACATGGCAGGAGGTATCAAGGCGACTGGTTTAGGCGTCGTCGAGCCAGCCGAGCGGAGTGAGTTGGCAGACAAAGGTGTGATTGTGGCCCGACTGTTGGTGAATGCTGGAGGAGACGTAGTGCCCATCAGAGTCTTCAATCCTGGACGGAGACTGTGTGTGGTGAAGCGGGGTGCTATGGCAGGCTTTCTCACCTCAGTAGGCGAAGAAGACATAGAATTGCCAGAGAGAACCCTACCTAGGGCGGAGACCAACGAGGAAGTCCCATCACATCTTACCGACTTGTACAACCGGAGCAAAGACGGAGTGGAGCCGCAACATCACCATCGAATTGCAAAGCTTCTGCGTGACTACCAGGATGTGTTCTCCACAGGGAGCACGGACATTGGACGTACTGATGTCGTCCGACATTCAATCAATACTGCAGATGCTCCACCAAGACGAGAAAGACCACGGCGGTATCCTAGACAGGAGCAAGAGGAGATAGATCGGCAGGTGCAGGAGATGCTCCGTGACAACATCATCGAGCCATCGGACAGTCCCTGGGCCTCTAACGTGGTCTTAGTAAAGAAGAAGGATGGTAGCAAGCGGTTTTGCGTTGATTACCGTCGACTCAACGCGGTGACTATAAAAGACTCCTATCCCATCCCCCGCATCGATGACTCCCTCGACGCGTTGTCGGGTTCGAGGTGGTTCTCCACCTTGGACCTGGCATCGGGGTATTGGCAAGTGGAGCTAGATAACGATGCCAAGAACAAGTCAGCTTTTGTAGTGAGAGGTGGTTTGTACTCATGGCGTGTAATGCCCTTTGGGCTTTGCAACGCCCCATCCACATTCGAAAGATTGATGGAACGGGTTCTCGCAGGGCTTCATTGGGAGACACTCCTAGTGTACTTAGACGACATCATTGTTTTTGCAGACACAGTGGAGGAAGAGCTGAGTCGCCTGCAGACAGTGTTTTGGAGACTGCGAGAAGCTGGGCTGAAGCTCAAACCAAAAAAGTGTGAGCTGTTCAAACAGCGTGTATTGTACCTTGGCCATGTGGTTACGGGCGAAGGAGTCTCGACTGATCCTGAGAAGGTGAAGGCAGTCAAAGAGTGGCCAACTCCTCAGTCTGTGAGAGACGTGCAGAGCTTCCTCGGTCTCGCGTCATACTATAGACGGTTTATCAAGAGTTTTGCAGACATCGCCCGACCCCTCCATCGCCTTACTGAGAAGGGCCGAGAGTTCGAATGGACGGCAGAAGCTGAAGGCGCATTTTGTGAGTTGAAGAGGCGCCTACAGGAATCACCTATTCTTGCTTACCCTGATCCATACGCGGACTATGTCCTAGACACAGATGCAAGCGATGTGAGTATAGGGGCCGTGCTGTCCCAGGTGAAGGATGGAGATGAGCGGGTGATTGCGTACGCCAGCAGGGCATTGAGCAAGCAGGAACGCAATTATTGCGTAACCCGAAAGGAGCTACTCGCTGTGGTTGTCTTTCTGAAGCAGTTCCGGCAATACATCTACGGG